AGCTGTGCCTGTCAATCTGAAATGGATGAATGCAGACTTTGATGTGAATGTTGAGGCTGGGCAGGTATCAGTTTTGAGTATTATGGGTCACTCCAGCATCCACACACTTGGGAACCCTTCTGATTTGGGGAGGAGATGAGAAGAAGCTGTCAGCCAAAAAGTTGATTTGACATTTGTATTTTACATACGCATGTGTTGAACTTTAAGTTCTCCTTGTATCATCAACACCCAGATACTATCTGACAGACAGTAAATAAATCATTTTGCAATGAAAAATACCTCCCAATGATATTTAAACAGGCAGTCTCCCCCCGCAAGACTTTACTGAGAACAGATTTTTTTCTCACATATGTCCTGATTATAGTTTGTAAAAAGAAACAAATGTTAAAGCACCATGTCATCTACCAATCCCATTTCTGGGTATTTATACAAAAGAATTAAAGTCAGAACTAAAAACAAATATTTGCTATCACATATTTCTAGAAGCATTATTCACAATAGCCAAAAAGTTTAAGCAGCCAAGATATCTATCAAAGAACACAGCATGGGTTATTATTCAGTTACAAAGGGAAGATATCCTGTAACATATGATGATACAGATGAAACATGATGATATTGAGCAAAGTGAAATAAACCAATCATAAAGAGACAAATTCTTTGATTTGTTTCTATGAAGTGTATAGATTCATGGTAACAAAAATTAGAATTTTAGCTCCTAAAAATTTGATTGTGGCACAGTTATTGTTAAATCTATAAAATTCCAGTTTTAAAAGATCAAGAGTTTTGAATATTTATGGTCCAACAATGTGAATACAAGAATGTGAATATACATAACACAACTGAATTGTATATCTAAGCATTAAGATAGTAAATTTTGTTTCACCTTAAGCGTAATTTTTTAAAAATATTTAAACCATGGGAAAAGCTGGTAAGACACATCATTCAGTAAAATGTTTGCCTTGAATGCAAGAGGATCTGAATGTGATCCACAGAACCCACAGAAAATAGAAAGGCATAACATCACCATCTTGTAATCCTCCACTTGGAAGGTAGTTGACAATGAATCCCGGGGGCCGGCCAATCAGCCACCAGAGGCTATTTAGCAAGCACAGGCCAGCAAGAGGCCCTGGCTTGGAAAAAAAACAGGCAGATGGATCCTAAGGAAGAACACTTGAGCTTGTTCACGAGCATACACACAAGTATGCATACAGGTACACACACACACACACACACACACACACACAGAGAAACATGCAGAGACAGAGAGACAGAGAGCACACGTGGGAAGGCATGAATATTGAACTGGGTATACTCCAAGATGTAACTTACTTATAAAGACATATAAAGTTAAAGGATAGAAATCAACAAATAAGGCAAACAGAAGCCGAAACAAGCTGGAAATGCTATTCTGCTTCCTGACAATGAAGTCTTTAAACTATTCAGATTTGAGGAAGGACACTACATTGTATTCTTAAAATTACAATGTAGTAGCCTTCCTTAAAAATTGTATTTAAAAAATTAAAATATTTTTAAAGATACCATTAATCAGGAAGACATAATTTTAAATATATACACACAGAACAGAAATGAAGTCTAATACTGATGACCTGCCAAAAGCAAAACAGCTTGAAGAAACCCTATAATAAGCCATGGAAAAAGGGAAAGAAGCATGACAATAGCCTTCCCAGAAAGAAAAACCCAGGACTGGATGGATGGATTCACTACCAGATTCTAACAATTTTATAAGGAAGAGTATGAACATTAATCGTGATTATCCATTTGATTACATCTGGATAAAGCACGGGGTGCTGAGCATTCCTGTGGGAGATTATTTGAAGATCAACCCATCCTAAATCTGGGTGGAACCATCTGACAGCAGTCCAAATCAAAAGACATAAAAGAAGGAAATTTTCCTTTTTACCCATTTGCTGTCATGCTAGCTGGCAAATTGATTCATTCTGTTGTTGTGACATTTCTTGACTGATTTTACAACCAAAAATATTCTTTGGTATTCCAATGTGGACTAAAGACCTGAGCACTCCAGGAATCCTCTAGACCTCCAGTTACAGAATGAAACTGCTGAGACATCCTGCCTCATGGCTAAACAACTGCCAGACTCTGAGGCAGCCATTGCTAAACGATATAGACCATTTCCTATAAGCCGATAATCTACATATATTCATTTTATCTTTTCTCTTCCTTTAGAGAACCCTGACTAATTTAAAGAAGTAACAGTAATACTAAACAAAGTTGAATGAAATAGAAAGAGGGAATAGTATCAAATTTCTTTTATAAAGATAATAAAATTAAAGTCCAATTTCTCTAAAGAACTAAAATGTTTAGAAATCTCAATAAAATATATGTAAACCAAAATTAAAATCTATTATATTATGACCAAGTTGATTTTATCCCAAAGGATAGAAATTTGGATCAACACAGATAAATCAAGATATGCAACATATAAGACAGACTTAAGGCCAGAAACCACATGGCAGTTATCAGTGCACTGAGAACAGAGCTTTGACAAACTTCATGATGAAATCTGTTAGAAAACTATAACTACAGGAAACATATCTCAACATGAAAGAAACCTGAAGCCAACATTATGCTAAGTGGCAAAATGTCATTTACTCTAAAACGTGGAACGAGAAAATGGTCCACCTTTTCTTCACTCTTGTCAATGTAGATTTCAATAAGAGAATGAGATGAACTGGATGCCAAATAGGAAAATGCCAAATTATTTCTACAATATGATCTTATTTAAAAGACTAAAAGGCTTCAGCAAAAACCCTCAGAGCTAATGAACACATATAGTAAAATAGAACATAAAATCTACATATGAAAGCCATCACCCTTACTTATATAACAATAACAGACTTGTAGAGGAAAAATTTGGAGCAAAAAAAAAACACTTCACTTGAAATAGCTCCACAAAAGGAATAAAATCCTCAGGAACACAAAAAGAGGTAAGAGATCACCACTATGATCAACACTAAAGTCTAAAATTTAAAGCCGGTGTCAATGGCTTATGTCTGCTAACCCCAGCCCTCGGGGAGCAGAGTGAGGAGAATCAGAAGTGGTGTGCTATGAGACCCTGTCTCAAAGAATTAAAAGTAAAAACAGGTTTTCTCACTTTCTGTTGACTCTCTGTGGGTTTCACATGCATCCTGATCCCACTCACCCCCCTGTCCCCTCACTTCTGCCCTCTGTTCGTGCATCCTCCCTAAAATAGTATTTAAAAGTAAAACCAAAACAACAACAGAAGACAAATAAAAAATCTCAGCATGGAAGCTGTAGTGTGGCCCAGTGTGTCACACAGTTTACCCTTTAGTTCATAATCTTCACTTGCAAGTGTTCATTGCAATAAGTCACTAGTCTAGACTGAAGCCTCTGGCTTCTACCACACTATTGATACTGGACCTCACTAGGATAACTCTTGGATATCCATCCTATTGTTGCCTTCATAAATACACAATTTTAAAAGAAAAAACTGAAGAGAAGATGAAAAGACTTCCCATGCACATCGAATGGCAAAATTCATATTGTAAAATTAGCTATAGCACTGAAAGTGATAAAAAAATTCAACACATTTCACAAGAAAGTCTCAATTACATTCTGAAGAATATATATAGACAGGCAAATTTGTTTTATTTACTTTCTATAATCTTACAGTGTACTGTCCATCAAGAGGGGAAGTCAGGGCAAGAACCTGAGGTAGGAGCTGAAGCAGAGACCATGTAGGAATGCCGCACACTGGCTTGCTCCCCATGCCCTATCCAGCCTCCTTATTATAAAACTCAGGACCACATGCCTAGCTGTGTGTCCACCCACCACCACTTCAATTGTTAATCAAGAAAATGCCTAGCAGACTTGCCTACACAGGATAATCTGATATGCGCATTTTCTCGATTGCTGGTCCTTCTTTCTAGATAACTCTCCCGTGTGTTCAGTTGACAAAAACTAACCAGCACACAATCTGATGGTCTGTGGAGACAGAGATACAGAGAAACAGACTGTTACAAAGCTAAAAAGGAAACCATAAGAGGAAAGGAAATGATCTGACGAGGTGCCTCAGAGAAGGTAAGGAAAATAGCTATAAATACATGTGATGTGAACACAGACGGGGAGGGGTCACTGACGAGAAAGGATCAGTAAGAAGAGCATTCATTAGTATGATAGGGTAAGGAAATGGGGAATGAGTAAGAATAAGGTGTAATGAAATACATACATACATATGTAAAGATGAATCACATTAGTTTATGAAATGTTAAGTATAATGAATGCTACATTTTACAATATGAACAAATGGGAAAACACCATACACTATTTTCAGACCTAGCGCTACTTTGTTTTCTAGCACTCTGGAAAATACTGTAGTTAATATCTACAAGAAAACAGAAAGTCCGCTTATTCTATATCTTCTGGGTCAAAAGGAGTAATCATACAGGTGACACACTTAAGATCTGCTTTCAAGGGACATGGGAATTAAGATTTAAGTTAGGCATCGAGCAGTTTTCCCTTTACTTCTTTTTTATTAATGCATTTAAGAGAAAACTAGCCTACACATTTTTCCTAAGACTCTCATAAGTTTGATTTTGATATCCTTTAATAAAACCATAAATTCAAATCTACTGGCTAAATTTTAGTGATAAAACATGAAGCCTAAAATACAATAAATGTGGTATATTCTCACAGACAAACACATGTTTATATAAAAAGGTACATATGGGTTTTCAAGCCTGTTTTACTTATTTTAAGATCAAGCTCACGTCTGAGAAAAAAAATTCAAGAGACGCATTTGGTTTACTCTTAAACGACAACTATCCTTATTTCAAAGAATACACTAAGAAACCCTGCGTTTTACAGACTATTGGTTAAAAATCAAAGTAATACTAGTGCTTTTTCTATGTTAAGAAATTTCACATGATACATATATACAGGCACATTCATAAATATATAGACATATAGGTGTGTTAAATGCTACCAGGGTTAAAACTTACGAATCAACATGCAGAACCCTCTGGCCACTCCTTGAACATGCAGCTGCAATGATGGATTCAGGCAAACCTATAAAAACACATACCTATATCATTTAGAATGTAGGTATATACGTATTTTATAGAAAATGTTCAATTCATACTATTGCTGCATAAAATTTTTTAACTAAAAGTATTTTCACTAAAGAAAATGTATAATTTTCAAAGCTATAAAGCATATATTAAAGAGAGATGTTTCTTAAACATATAAAACTAGTGCTGGGTTGTTTCAGGTAGAAGATAAATGTTTTAAGAAGATAAGCCCTCAGCTCCTTCTGTAAATTATCAGAAATGGACAACTGTTTTGAAACAAATAGGCCTTTGTGACTTAGGAGCCAGGTAGCCACACAAGCTTATCTGATCCTCCCAAAGGCGCTGAGATAACAATCTGCACCTGCAGAGACAACAAAGGGACTGCTGCTCAGGGATGGAAATTTACTGCTAAGAAAAAGCTCCCAGTTGAAATTTCAACTCAGATCTAATTCCAAAGCCACAAAGCCTCTAAGTAAGAATGGAATACACTTTTTATGTTAAAAATTATGCTAGTTAATTATCTTGTTTATTAGTCGCTATAGCACATTGGAACAAAAATATTATTGCTTTGGAATCAAATGTAGTCATACCAAAGCTTATTATCATAAAAGGGACTATAAATTACTAACAATATGAATACAAATTTTAATTAGCAAGCTCAATTATGTTATAATAAAGAGCAAGTTTTCTATGACATTACTGATATACCTTATGTTATAAGTTCAAGACTCTTCCACAATTTTTATCGTCAGATCTACCATTTCACTAGAGGTCATTAGGTCATCCAGATAAAGCATATTGAAAGTTCAGTACAATCCTCTGGAATGAGCACCACTATCAATATGAAAAAGCCTAATTGTTTTGCATTCTTTGATGACCACTTAAAGTGCTCACTAAGAAGCAAGAATTACAAAAAAGGGAAAGGTTAACTTTCCTCTGTAGAAATGTAATATGGTGCTGGGGGGAGGGCTCAATGAGTAAAAATGCCTACTGCCAAGACTGATAACCTGAGTTTGACCTCCAGAGTCCACACTGTAGAATAAGAAAAATCAATTCCACAAAGCTATCCTCAGACCTTACTCCATATGCCCAGCAAACACACACACAAGTTAGAAAGCTGATTTAAAGTAATACACATGGAAACAATTGACATAATCAGTCTTCAGCTAAAAACCACATTAAACACAAGAGCCAACCGCCTTCATGAAGAACTATTTTTCCAGTATTGAACATTTTGTGGGTATATAATGTCTGGTTCAAAAATAGAAGTTGTGTCCAAATATACAGAGTATAACCATTAAATATCAATTTTTGGAACCAAGCCACCATACAGTTTTATCTTTTGATATAAGTGTAGAAAAAGACTAGAGAGAAATGAGAGTTTCAAATAATTATACATATTATATTTTTCAGTTAAAACTATTATTCTAATGTGTACTATGATGATCTTTACTTTGCATGCCTAAATAACTTCCCTTGATAAAGAAATGTAATCAATATACTTTTAAAAGTTGATAAGCTAAGAAATATTACAAAATAGAAATGTTAAAAAGGTTTCTATAAAATAGCATTAAAATGGCACATATATATAGTTTTATGCTTCGTATCATGTAAACACATATCATCCCATCTATTTATCATTATCATCATGGACAATACTATCTAAGTGAGGAAACAAGCCAAATACAAAGGAATTTTGTAAAAGAAGCAATTCACTTTTGGACAACTGGACTGAAGGGCAATATAGGTCACTTAATAAAATGAGTACCATTGAGACATGGACATGAATCTTTATTTCATTGGTTCCCTAGCTATGCAACTTTAGACAAGTCACACTTTCTGTACCTATTTTTCCTTCTGTCAATGGCAATTTTCATCACCTATTTCATATGATTCTCTAGTTAGTAGAATACTGTCTGTGCTGAGAATACTGTTTTAATCATTTACTTCTTGAGATTATAATAATTGGATAATTTCCCCCTTCCCTTTCCTCCCTCCAGAGCCTTCCATGTATTCCTTCATTGCACTCTCTGAAATTAGTGGCCTCTTTTCTAATTAATTGATAATATATATGCATATGCATCTACAAATACATTCATAAATATTCCTAAATACATAAATACAACCTGGAAGAGAATTCTTAGCATCCTTGAGGATAGTTTAGAAGCACGAACATTTCATTCAACACCACACCAAACATATGTCTTTGCACAAATGCCAACACCAACCGCAGACAATATCACTCTCCTCTATTTTATCCAAATTAACTATTCCTTTGGGTAGGAAGATATGTGTGTGGTAATTTCTATGCCTGAAATCAACAGTCAGAAGTCAAGCCTCTGCTGACAACGCAAAGCCAAAAATGGTTTTCAATGTGAAATATGATCTGAATCCAAACTACATAAAACCCAAATAACTATTATTTGCAATTTTCCTTAATACTTCCATCCAGATATCACCACAAGTTTGTGAAATCAATAGGCAAGCTGTTCCAATGTCAAATGCCAAGGGTCCATTATCTGCATGCTTAGAATTGTTAAAATAACAAGCTACGGATTCAGTTAGTAATTTCTTTGTGGCCTAGGTTACATTTTTTTGTCCCACCCAGTCAATAAATGACTTTTAAGGAAAGGACACAGCAAAGAAAAAAGAGAGCAGCTATTATGTTAGATATTTTCACTGCAATAAAACAAATTTTTGCAAATGAGTTGTTAGAGCCAAATTAGGAAGTCTGGATGCCATTCTTTGAGGAAAAAGGAGTTTGAAAAGGATTTGAGTGTTTCAGTATGAATTAGCTTTTAAAAATATTTCGACTTGAAGCTGGAGAGATGGCTCAGTAGTTAAGGACACTTGTTCTTGCAGAGGACCCAGGTTCAGTTCCCAGCACCCACATGGTAGCTCACAACCACCTAACTCCAGCTCCAAAGAATCTGATGCCCTCGTCTGATGTTCTCAGGCACCAGGCATACAGTTGGTAGATGTGTATGCATACAGGTGCAATGTTCGTGTGAATAAAATAAAATAAACCCAAAAAAACTACCCCTAGTCACAGGAGAGAATAAACTTTCATTAAATGGGAGCTGCAAGTTTTAAAAGACTTGTGTAGGAAAAGGGACAAATTAAATTTTTGTTCTCAATCATTTAATAAAATGACTGCTTGTTTTAAAACAGGAGTTGGAGAAAACATGTGCCATGATGCACATACATGTGAAGGTCAGAGGACAAGATTTGCAGGAATCATTTCTCTCCTTCCAACTTTGCCGGTCCTGGAAATCAAACTCAGATTGACAGGCCTAACAGCAAGCATCCTTACCCATTGAGCTATCTCACCAGCCCTTTTGTCTTTCTTATTTTGTTTAAATATGGATGTATATGTGTGTATGTGTATGTTCAACTTTAATATCACTTACAAACTTTAATTTTGTAATAAAATCTCTTCTAACGCTTAGAAAAATGGTACTGAATCATTACTCAAATTCACACACCCTTGTGAGTCTTTATCTAGAACACATACAGGCTTTAATAAATTGTAAGATCTCCCTAGGAAGAAAAGCCAGATGTCTTAGAGGCAGACCTCTGCTGCAAAGTAGATGACTATCGGAAACATGCTAAGTGATACAGGCCAGCCTGGCTACTCAGGACCACTCTTTTGCTCTCCTCTCCTTTACCCTTTGTGAGGAGTTTGTGTGTAGGTTGGTTGTATATCCTCAAAGACCTGGCTAATGCCTAATGTTAGATCACATACAAATCACACAATGTTTCACTGGAAGCTCTATGAAATGTGTGAGCACAAATATGTAAGTGCAATGTGTCCACTGCTCAGATAGCCTACTAATGTACCTTATAGGGTCTGGGGAAGAACAGGAACAAAATGGTATGACACACCTATACAGCTATGTGAAAAAATATTCTCTTCCTCTATTTCTTGAGTTAAGATTAGCTCTCTGAGGGTTTAAAATAGCACCACTTGCTTACCACTCATTTATCTTCAAAAGCATTTTTAAAGTTCATTTGTAAGCAGGTCTGAGACTAGTGCCAGCTGAAGACGGAAAAAGGGATGAACACTCCACCAGCATTGCATTATATGCAATAGGTGGGTCTGCTTCTTTTTGTTCATTAGGTTTATTCCAAAATAAAGATCTACACAGTGATTATAGCTCTAATAAGAAGTCAGGTACTACTGTTTTGTGCCAGAAGAAAAAAAACTATTTCGTGCACTTTTACAAACAAGTCCATTATATTCTATGCAAGACTCAACACCTACCAGTATGAATCACTTTTTTAGCTTACTACAACACCTTTGAGGCTGGAAAGTTTGTCTACACTCTGCTGAGGCATTCCTTCACTGGTATTAGACCTACTTCTTCAGTCCAAGGTGGACTAAATATCAGCTTCTCTCTAGAAATGCTTCAGGACTCTAGCTCCTGAGACATCCAGTCTCATGGACTGAACAACTACTGAATTTTTGGTCTTCCTATCATCAGTCGTGAGACAGCCATCATCAGACTACCTGCCTGTAAATAATTCTAACAATTCTCACTCTATCAATTCTATTCCTTTAGAGGACAGTAACTAATACACAGTCTGTGTGGTTAAAAATATATTTTTAATCACACTACTTCCTAGGTCTTTAGGGAATTTTTCTCGTCTGTCTTCTGTGGCATAGTTTATTGGTATACATCTGATTACTTCAGATAAAATATTTTCTAAATAGTTACTGATACTCATAATTTTCTGGATCTTCAATAGTTATAGACAATAAAGGAAGCTTTTTATCTACAAGGGAATTTACATCATGAATCTCTATGTAGAAATGGAAACAACTTAAATGTCTTTAAATTGATGAACACGTGGTACAACCATGCAATAGTGAAAAGAAAAATAAAATCACGACATTTGCAGATAAGTGGATAAACTGGAAAATATTACACTGAGTGAGATAACCTACACCCAGAAAAAAAACAAGTGATGAATACTCTCTCTTATTTGTGGTTCCTA